ATGGCATCTCTAGGTGCCAGACACTGAGCAACATAAGCGCAGCTGATGCTCCAGGCCAGCCAGTGGCATCAGAGAGAGTCCGTGTGGCACGGGCACAGGGTGGTGGCCTGGGTCCGCAGATGCCAAGATGCTGGGACCGGCACAGCATCGCTACCTGGTCACCACTCGCTAGCCCTGGAAGCAACAGTGCCTGCCACTTACACGCCCAAGCTCAGGGCAGGGGGAGGACAGAGACCAGTCCCCCACCCCCCAAGGCCCTGTCACGTGTCCCCGAGTCTGCAGCACATGTGTGTGCCCAGCTTCTCCTCCTGGTGGGATGCTGCCTCTTTTGCTTTCTCTCTCCCTGTCTCTCTCTCTCTGTCTCTCTCTGTCTCTCTCAGAGGCAGGAGCCATAAAACGTGAACGGTGAGCAGCCCCATTGCTCATTGTGTGGACAAAGCCAATGTGCAGTGACAGGGAAAGCCCCCGCGGTGAGAGACGGAGAAAGCGCCTAGGACCCGCCACTGTCGCTGCTCCCATGGCCTGTGGCTGCCCCGGCCCCCTGCCTTCCCTGGGGAGGAGCGGACACTTACTGTCGCGCCTGAGCTGCAGAGCTCCCCAGGCTGGGGCCTGCGGGGCCGGGGCTGCTCTGGGGGGCCTGACTGGGAAGGTCGGTAGCGAGAAGCCACCTGCCTTGCCCCAGCCCACTGCACTGCAGTGACAACGCTCTCCACCTGCCCTCCTCCCCTTCCTCTCGATGGTCCACAGCTTTAGGTGAGCGGGGGTGACGCTTACTGGCCACCTAGACCCCAAACCTGCTCCTGCCACAGCCTGGGATTGACCTTCCGTGGGCTGCCCACACCCCCGATGGCCACCCTGGGGCTTATTCTAACTCGGTCTGCGTATCTGGCACCTGCAACCGTGACCCCCAAGGAACATGTGGCCTAAGCAAGTGGGCACAGGCTCAGGGCCCCAGGCCACCGCGTGGTGCCCATCCACACTCAGCAGAGTCACCGCTCCCACGGCCTAGAGAGCCAGCAAGCCGCCCTCTGTGTACCCGCCACGAAGAGCGAAGCCGCGGTGCCTCCCCTCAGACACACGCACCTCACAAAGCACCAGCACAGGATGTGGGAGCAGGGCCTTGCCCAGTGTGAATAACACTGGGAGAAGGGGACAGTGACGGGACCCAGCAGCGCCGGGGGCTTTCCCAAAGGAGGGCGATGTGGTGAGCCTCCGAGGACAGGCGGCCCGGGGGGTGCGTGTGCCAGGGGCGGCCTCCTCCGTGCTGGCAGGTGGCACGTGGTGGGGCGTGCTTACCGAGGGAATCCTGCAGCAGGCGCGTGAGCTTGCTGTTGCGGTATGGGACATGGCTGCGGCGCTCCGACAAGGCCCCCAGGACGTCTGCGAGGGCCGCGAGGCTGCGGTTGATGAAGGACGTCTCCCTCAGGGCCAATCCGGTCACCCCGGACAGTCCTGGGAAGCACAGAGACCCCCCCCACATGGTTACCACTGGCATCCAGAAATGAGTCCAGAAAAGCAGAACTGGCTTCTCAGGAAGAGTGTGCTTCTGGTCAGTCAGAGGAGGACACAGGGACCTGGGAGAGACACTCAAACGGACCCCTCATCTCGCTGACTCTCCCCTCTAATGAGCAGACGGAGCTTTGCTGAGCGCTGAGGTCCCTCTTCTGACAGCACCAACGTGGAGCTGGCATGCAGGGGAAGACACAGTCCATTAGACTGTCACAGAGATCGACAACTATCTGCAAAGGGGTCACCATGCTCAGAGCCTCCTGCGGTGGCCTACGTACACGTCTGGCTCTCCAGCACCCCCAAATAAAGGCTTCTGCCAGCATCTGTGTCCGCCCCCGGCTGTGTGTCCAGCCCCGCTCACCAGTGCACTCGCTGCCCGCCAGGTCCACAAGCTGCAGCTGGACCCGCACCTGCTCCGTGCGTCCCGCAGGGTCTGCGGGCCTCGGAGGCGAAGCTCGTGGAGAAGTGCTGCGCTGCCTTCCCGCCCCTGTGGGCAAGGGCCAGGGGCCGGCGGGCTCCCGCGGGAGGGTCTGCCTGCACGCCCGCTCTGTGCAAGGGAACGGCAAAGAGGGGGAGAAAAGCTTTTAAATGGCACGAAGCTTTGCTCAGACTGACATGGGAGCTGAAACTCTCCTGAACGTCGCCCTCGAGGACCCCAAGTCACAGGGAGTGAGAAGCCGGCTTGGCTCCGTGTCTTGCTCTTCCAGACACACAGGAGGCGGGGAGAGNAGAAGTGCTGCGCCGCCTTCCCGCCCCTGTGGGCAAGGGCCAGGGGCCGGCGGGCTCCCGCGGGAGGGTCTGCCTGCACCCCCGCTCTGTGCAAGGGAACGGCAAAGAGGGGGAGAAAAGCTTTTAAATGGCACGAAGCTTTGCTCAGACTGACACGGGAGCTGAAACTCTCCTGAACGTCGCCCTCGAGGACCCCACGTCACACAGAGTGAGAAGCCGGCTTGGCTCCGTGTCTTGCTCTTCCAGACACACAGGAGGCGGGGAGAGGGGCCGTGGGCGGCTTGTCTGGGGGATACCGTGATCTGTCACGGCGGAAAGCTGCATGAATGCCTAATTTGTCCCAAGAAAATGTGACAATGTTTCTTAGATAGACTTGGTAATGATGTTAATTAAAATCCCAGTCAGAAAATGTTTTAGCCCTTTTGGAAATAAATTCTGCAATCTGTCTGATCGTCTTCCACAAAAATCCTGACAAATGCGTTTGCCATTTTGATATTTATGTCAGTTTTGTTGTGTTTTTCTTAACACACTCTTTTAAAAGATTTTTTCAACCTAAATAATATCTACTCACTGTGTAAAACATAGAAAATACACATAACTTTTTTAAAAAGGAGATGAAACCCACTCTTCTTCCCGCTCCCCGTGAGGAGCGCCCTGTCATCTGTGAGCACCGTGCACGTTTATCTTGACCGTGTTACCCACTAAGATCTGGGCTTCCTGGTTCCCACAGTACGAAGCTGAGGCCCTAGACCAGGGGTTCTCCAGGTGTGGTCCCTGGCACTGGAAACTTGCAGAAGTGCAGACTCTCAGGTCCCCTCCCAGCCCTGCTAAACCCGACTGCCAGGGTGGTGTCCTGCTGTCTCTGTTTCAGGAGCCCCAGTGGCAATTCCATGTAGCTAGAGCTTGAGAACCACTGCCCTAGACTTTACAGGCCTTTGCAGCACGTGTTATTTTTCTTACACAACTGGAATCATTTCATCTACTGTATAGTTCACAGTTTTCACTGTAAACTGAAATTGCACTGATAGTTTCATTCCTGTCCGAGGCATAAATGTGCCCTGCTTTTCTTTCTGTGTTATATTATTTTTTAGCAAAGTTTCCCCCTTCCCGCCCCACCGTTCCTTCTCAGCCTGGCATCCCGGCAGCCTCTCTGTTTTGGGCTGCAGACCATCCAAAGATGTCGTTGCAATTCCTGCCCTCGGGTCTGTGAGACACCTCAGATCCGGCAGGTGTGCTCGATTTGTTTTCTTCCTAAGTGGATTTCTGTTACTTGCAACTCACCAAGCGCCAATGGCAACTTACCAGTGCTGTCAGAGGAAGGTGCTGTGGTTAGAGTCACCGTTATGATCAGGTGGGACCTGGAAGAGTCGTCGTGCACTAAGGTGGGGTGCTTCACCCTGAGCTGCAGACCCCCATGAACGAGCTTCATGAACTCCGCGGCACTGCAGACAGCCCTGGCGAGGACGGCAGGTGTTACAGAATGCACCAAGGGGGGGCTCACCATCCAGTTAATAGAAGCCCCTCACATAAACCGAAGGTGCCGGTTTCAAGAAAGGAGACTGAAGCCAGTCTTAGGCAAAATAAAGCATGATAAATCAAACTTTTTACTTTTGAGGCCTAATGGACCTATTGATGACCCTGCAATGACAGACCGTTTCAGAACCAAATCAGAGGTTGCTGACCTCTTCAACATCAAGAATTCCTTTATTTTGTTATATCCTCATGGACCCAAGTTTTTAAAAATATTTTGTCTATCAAATCATACCTATGAAATTAAGTCTGAATCTATTTCCCCATTTTAGGTGCTGAGTATGACAGTCACTTGGAACTCTTAATCAGCAGGAGGTAACATTTTGATCATAGTCTATCAATCGAAAGCTGAAAGTTTTGGTTACTTTGTGCAAACATGTCTGGTTAAATGCATGGTTTCCTTTAGGCTTTTGACATATTACAACAGCCTGCTGCCCCTGCCCCTGCTGGCCCCGAGGTCCCAGACAGGCATCCCTCACCCAGCCGTCACACACGGGCCAGTTCCTTCTGCTGCTGCCTCTCCGCACGAGCACGCCTGCACTACGTAACCTTGAGGGGATCGCTTAATTAATACGAGGATCCTCACTTGACAAGATGATTCGTTACTGTATTCTATAAAGTACTGGTTTATATATTTATATATTTACAGGTGTAAATGGCACAGCTGTCCTTGACTGATGGCCTGGACAGGTCACTGCCCTTCTCCAGGCTGGTCTCCTCACCTGCGTGATGGGATGACACCTGTCCCTTAGACGGGTAGGAAGATTTTTTTAAAAGATACATTTAGTTACTTAAGTTTTTATTTTTTTAATTCTTTTTTTCTGTTTTCTTTTTTATTTTCTTATTTAGTGGCTTCATTAAGATATCATTGATGTATAAGATTGTACATTTTTAAGGTGTACACCCTGATGTCGTGACACACATATACATTGTGACATGATCACAACATTCCAGCTAACTGACATATCTATCACCTCTACACAGTTACCACTAAAAAAGGATCGTCCTTCAAGCACATTGAAAACTGTGCAGCACACACGAGCCACCTCGCTGGTGAACGGCAGTGCCTCGGCCACGTGCCTGGTTCTACTGGGATCCTCAAGAGGCCGACGGGCCCGGGAACCACTCACTCGCACGTCCGCAGAGAGACCTCCGTCCTTCCTTCCTTTGTCGTCTTCAACTCGCGCTTGACCACAGAGGCCACTGTGGAATTGTCTTTGGCCAGAAGGTCAAAAATGTCATTGTTATAAACCTCCACTATAGAAACTTCAACCTTAGTGCTTCTTGATGGATCTTCTGAAATAAGCCTGGAGGAAAACATACAAAAGAAGTAAACCATCGGAGGCACTTAAAGGACTCCTTGAAGAAAGTCTTAAAACAATGACTTCCAATGTAAGATGATCCCAGTCCTAGAAAATACACAGCAGAAGTCTTAGGAACCACGAGTCTAACAGGGTGGCATCTTATTAACAACGAGATCCCTCAGAGACGAGGGAAGGACCTGTTTAAATTTTAGGGTAAAAAACTGTCTTGGGAACAATTTGTCTTATAGAGTTATATTTAAATCCACTACCTTATCAACAGGTGCCCTTAGGATTCTAAACACCCTAGG